CTTGAACCCAGGAGTTGGAGGTTGCTGTGAGCTGTAATGCCACGGCACTCTACCCAGGGGGACAGCTTGAGGCTCTGTCTCAAAAAAAAAAAAAAAAAATGTATTCCCTCACTCCAAACGTGGTGTTTGCCGGGCCAGCTGTGCCCTAGTAGATGGTTGGCTGTGGCTTCTGTCCTCTCTGGGAGTGTAGAGGGTCAGGCCAGTTAAAGAAGCCTGCAGAAAGCTGGCAGATGCCAAGCCTCTCTCATCTCTGGCCTTTGTATATGATGTTCCCACCCGGAATCCTCCCTTCCCTCCACCATCTCTGCATCACTCACTTTGATCCATCTTTCAGGTCTCAGTTTAAATATCACCTCCTGTAGGACACCCTGCCTGATCCTCTCCCCACTGGCTGGGCTCAGTGGTCGGTGTTCCCACAGTCTGTGCTTTCTCCATGCCAGTAGAAACCTCACTGAACTGCCACCACCTGTCTGTTTTCTCTCTCGACTCATCAAGGGCATGTTCCATCTGATCATTGCTGTACCTGCAGCAGTGAGCACAGCAGACAAGGTGATGAGCAGTTGTTGAATAAATGAACTAAAGAATGAATGAATGGAGAAGAGGCCTTCTGCATCCTCAGTAAGCTCTATCTATCCTTGTATAATTTTTCAATTCAAACAAACGTTTATGGAGTATCTTGTGGGGTCAAGCACTCCACTTAACTTTTGGGGCCTGTAGTGATAAGCAAAATTAGTCAAGGGGGAGAGACTATTAATAAGTAAGCAATAAACTAATTCTCTCACATGCACGTGCGCGCACACACACACACACACACACACATATGGGAAATGCCTTGTGGGAAATGCAATAGAGCAGGGGTCCTCAAACTTTTAAAACAAGGGGCCAGTTCACTGTCCCTCAGATCAGATCATTGGAGGGCCGGACTGCGGGCCCCAGGATGAGTCGGCTGCTAAGCAGGACAGGCAGCGGTGGCAAAAACACCCCATGGGCAGGATAAATGTCCTAGGTGGGCCGCATGTGGCCCACAGGCCGTAGTTTGAGGACGCCTCCCATAGAGGATAGGAACAGGGAACATTTTCAGAAGATAACAGGGAGGTGAGGGGTGACTTTGGGGTGGGTCAGATTTGGGTTTGAAGTCTTGCTTGGCCACTTACTTGCTGTGTGACCTTCTCTGGGCTTTGGTTTCTCATCAGGAGGAAAAGGCTGTTTATCTCCCTCTCTTAGAATGATATCAGGAAATGGAACATTTATTTATTCATTCAATAAATATATATTAAGTAGCTCCTCCAACTCAGAGAAATTACTTGCCCAGGGTCACTCAGATGGGCAGTGTGTGTGGATTTTGAACTGAGGCCTGACTGGAGCTCTGGATCTGGCTGATGGTAAGTCCTGCTCTTCCCATTGATTTATTTCCCCAGGATTTGAGAGCAGTGATCTCTGCCTGATGCAGGCAATGTGCCTGCTAATCTCCCCCATGTGATAGTGGTCGTGGTGGTGAGCTCCTCTGACCCCCTGAGTCCTCATGCCCCTCCTTGATCCTCCTTTCCCCCACTTTGAGCTGCCTCTACCACCTTGGCACCCACTAAACCCCTCCCTCTCACTGAGTTCTATTGCTTTCAGTGACCTCTCCCCCAGTCATCCCCAAGCCCCTCTCCATCCCCTCGCTGAGCTGACACTACTCTTGGTCCCTGAACCCTCTTCTTTCTTCTTCACTGAGCCTGGTGCCCCTCACCCACCTACCCTCCTCCCAGAGCATTTCTGAACTGCTTCTCTGGAACCGAGTTGTCTCACCTATGAGTCCCCATCATTCAGTCTCACTAGGGCACTTGAAAGCATTTAGAGAAAGTACGGAGAAGGATGAGGCACAGTCTTCCTCCTCCTCAGTCTCCTCCTCCAGCAAGCGCAGCTCTAACGTCTGCCACCACTTCAGGCAGCTGTCATACTGGCCATGCCTTTGGCAGGTGCCTGGGAACCCAGGGTCTGCTGCAGTCATTCCCAAATGGCTTCATGGCTGCTTTCTGGCCCTCCCACTCTTGCCTCTGACCTTCACATATGCCTCCCATTTCTTTTTCTTTCTTTCTTTCTTTTTTTTTTTTTAGAGACAGAGTCTCGTTTTGTCACCCTTGGTAGAGTGCTGTAGCGTCACAGCTCACAGCAACCTCCAGCTCTTGGGCTTAGGTGATTCTCTTGCCTCAGCTTCCTGAGTAGCTGAACTATAGGTGCCCACCACAAGGCCCAGCTATTTTTTGTTGCTATTTGCCCGGGGGCTGGGTTCGAACCTGCCACCCTCGGTTTATGGGGCCAGCGCCCTACTCACTGAGACACAAGTCCCATTTTTAATGGTACCTTCAAGCATATGGAAACTCAAGCAGGGCCACAGTATGTGGGTCGATGTTTGGAAGGGGTATGGCAGGGTCACTTCTGTTGTGGGGAAAGCAGGTAGGGCTCAGTCCTATCATTTTGCCATGGGGAGGAGACCCAGGTATCTGAGTCCTCAGAAGGCATGAATGGCTGAACGGTGCCTTTCTGTGCAGATTCAGCCACCAACCGGCAATGAGACTTTGGGCAAGGCACCATTGGACTATCTGGGTCTCAGTTTCTTCCTTCGAGTAAAAAGTGTGGGAACATCTGGAAGATGCAAACAGGCAGGGAGGGAACTTTGCACACCGTGGGGTCCAGGGTTCCTCTGTGGGGCCACTAGGTTTTCAGGCTCAGTAGCAGCATTGTGGTGTTTGTCCTACAAACGAAAGGTCTACTTAGTGTGGAATCAGCCCAAGCGGATCCCCATCCCATCAGGACGCCAGTCACTCCTTTGCTCCAGCGACCTGGGAGAAAGGGGTCCTGGCGAGCCCTGTGGACCAGGAGACCAGGCAGAACTGATTCCAGCACTGGCCAGTGTGAGGTAGGGGAAGGAGCACTGAGCAAGGAGTCAAACCTCTTGAGTTCTAGGCCAGGCTTTCACAGTCACACAGAGGGGCCTCAAGCAAATCGCTCCCCCGGGTGGAGACTGGATTCTACACCAGCTACCAGAGCTTATCACTCCGAGAGGCCAGACCAAGGAAAATGTGGCCCGCTTTCCACTCAAAATTTGGGGAGGAGCGGATAGGGAACTGATGCCCTAGCAGGGCAGAGTCAGGCAAAGGACACGGACTCAAGAGGTTTGAGGAATGGACTGAACGTGCGTGGGGGGGTGGGAGGCGGGTTCAGGACTTGCCAGTCTCTGATTGGCTGTGCCACCCATCGTTCCGCCCCGTGTTCTATAAGAAGCGCGGCGGAGGGTGCGGCTCTGGAGTGGGAACTGCGGCCACATCTTTCCTCAGGTGTACAGGGTCCGTCCTCCCTGCTGACCAACAGCCGCAAACCGCCGGGGGGCGGGGGATGCCGGGCTGCCGCATCAGCGCTTGCGGCCCCGGGGCCCAGGAAGCGACGGCAGAACCGGGGTCCCCGCCGCCGCTGCCCCGGGAGCCCCTGCCATCCCCTCAGCCCCCTCCCCCAACCCCGACCTTGACCCCGACCCCGACCCAGGTTCAGGCCCCGCAGCTGTCGGAGACGGCCCGGGAGTCAGCCGGTGTGGCCGAAGGGCAGGAGCTGCAGCGCTGGCGCCAGAGCGCTAGCGGGGGCGCGGGGGTCACGGGGCCCGGTGGGGGCGCGGGCTGCGGCTCGGGAGCGGCGGCTGGAGCTGGAGGCCGCGCGCTGGAGCTGGCCGAAGCGCGGCGGCGCCTGCTGGAGGTGGAGGGCCGCCGGCGCCTGGTGTCGGAGCTGGAGAGCCGCGTGTTGCAGCTGCACCGAGTTTTCCTGGCGGCTGAGCTGCGCCTGGCTCATCGCGCTGAGAGCCTGGGCCGCCTGAGCGGCGGCGTGGCGCAGGCCGAGCTCTACCTGGCGGCGCACGGGTCGCGCCTCAAGAAGGGCCAGCGCCGTGGCCGCCGCGGCCGCCCACCCGCGCTGCTGGCTTCAGCTCTCGGCCTGGGTAGCTGCGTGCCCTGGGGTGGGGGGCGCCTGCGGCGAGGCCACGGTCCCGAGCCCGATTCGCCCTTCCGCCGCAGCCCGCCCCGCGGCCCCGCCTCCCCCCAGCGCTGACCTCAACGCCCGGACCCCTGGCCACCCCGGACAGGCCATCGCCGAGGTGCGGACCACAGATTGCGAATGCCGGCCGGATGGACGGCGTCACCTACGCGGATGGACAGACTGACCTGCAGGAAGAGACAGTCGGGGGTGCCAGGGGCCCAGTAAAGGAGGCTGAGGTGCGGTCTTAACGGCTGGTGCATTAAAGGGGCGGGGAGGATGGGGGGTTGGTACAGGGCCTCTCTTCCCTAGGGCTTCTGGCGTCTGCTAGGTCCCTAATAAAGCTGTCCGACCTTCCTCAGACCACCTGCGAAGCAAGGTGCTAGCACCAAGTCTCCATTATAGAATTGGGCAAATCCAAAGTGCTCAAATTCCACGAGGGGTTTGGTGGCAAACTTTTACCACTTGGAACCTACTGTACTGATGCAGCAACACTATTCTCACCCCCACTTGCGCTGCCTTTCCTGGGTTGCTCAGGGTTGCTGCTTTCTGGCAGCACCCCGCTCCATACCTTTTGAGAGGACAGAAAAATGAGACCCCAGGATAGTGTGGGGGCTGGCACAGGGCTGTATGACTGAGTTTGCCTCCTCTAAGTTCCTATTTCTCAGAAGAGAGGGAATCCCAGAGAGATTGAGGATGTGTTTGTTCCTGTCATACTTAGACTTTTCTGCTTTTAGGAGACAGACCTTTTCTCATGCCCGCATGCAGCTTTACTAAAACTGATGCAGATAACCAGGATGGAGTGCTTGGCACCTGATCACCTACCCCCCCCTCCCCCAACTTGTCTAAGATAGCTCTGCCAAGGATGGAAGCAGGTGACATCCTTTAACAGGCCCCAAGAGGGCAGGTATGGTATTGGCTTTCCTGAAAAAGAGGCCTTAAAGGGCCAGACCTGAGGTGAGATCTGTTTCTCTTCCTGTGCAAATGCCCTTTGCCCCCCCTCCCTCTGTCTCCACTCAGTTATGAATAACCTGGCTGCTCAGCATCTGAGTTGACTGCAGCCCTGTCAGTCTGTGAAGTGGATCTTGTCACCTCTCAGCAGGGCTGTGGTAAGGTTAACATAGGGCAGAGGTCTGTCTTCTTCTCCCATAAGTCAAAAAGATATTTTATTCTTTTAAATCACACCTAGAAAAGGTACTGCTTTTGGTGATGGAACCAGGAGCTAATTTAAAGTTCTCATTTTATAGAGAGGGATTTTCTCAAGGTCACATGCCAGCATAAGGGACAGAAGCAGGTCCTAGACCTGTGTGTGGGCTTCCCATCGTGTCCTGGGTGGGGGGGCTAGGGAGAACTGGCCTCTGGCCCCTGTATGCTGTGTGACTTAGAACAATTCTATCCCCTCTCTGGGCATTTTTCCTCAGTTCCTTTTATCAGTGCTTGGGGAATAGGGTGAGGGGGGAGGATGATTACATCAGAGTCACGAGAATCTGATTTAATACTATGAGTGCCGAGGGTACTTCTCTGATAAACTAAGCCCGGGGCCCTCACCTGATCTTCCCCCTTCAGCCCTTTCTCTCACTGGGTACCAAACTTTTAACTGGTTTCTCAGCTAACATTCAGGCCTTCCTAAATCCATTCTTAGCTGGGGAAGGGACCAGGAGGAAGCTTCAGGTCCCCCGAGAAAGCTTGGGGACCAGGGAGCAGTGTGTGTGTGTGAGGGTGCTGACATCCTATGACCTCCCCAGTCTGTGAAGAACTTCCAAAGCCACTTAAGTCATTTGGGGTCTAGAGGCCCAGAAGGACAGAGACTTCCCAGAGGTGACACACAGGAGCTTAGGCTGCAGCGCTGGGCTGCTGCCAAGACTATTTATTTTCTGGATTGCATGGGAGAGAGCACTTTGTCCAGAGAAGCTTTTAGCTAATGGTATAAAGTGCTCTGTACCATCACAATTTGTCTTTCTCCAGGATTTATTGGTAATCAGCTTTGTCCTGATCTGGGGGTGGGGTTGGAGAATTAGAGATGACATTGGCTGGAGAGAGTGGTGTGGGGGCAAATGGAGATTGATCCTGGTGGCAGCTCTGTCCCCTTCCTCCACTTCCAGATGGCCCACTCCTCCTCACCAAAGGCCTTGGCCTGGGCACACAGCACTTACTGTGTGTGAACTCCAGCTTCCAGTCAGTGCTCTGTGCACTACCCCTCAGCCAACTAACAAAGGTTTCCTTCTCACACCTGTCTCACACCCTGGCTCACCCAGGGCCCCTTCTAGAAGCTCCCCAGCCTGGCTCCATTTTCTCTTCAGTCAATAAATATTGATAGCCAGGAAACACAGCCTCTGGGCTGGGTGCGGTAGCTCATGCTATAAGCACTCTGGGAGGCTAGGGAGAGTGAATTGCTTGAGCTTGGGAATTTGGGACCAGCTTGAGCAATAGTGAGACCCCCTTCTCTACTAAAAATAGAAAAACTGAGGCAAGACTATAACTTGGGGCTCGGCGCCTATAGCTCAACCAGCTAAGGCGCCAGCCACGTATACCTAAGGTGGTGGGTTCGAATCACCAGCCCGGAACCGCCAAACAACAATGACGGCTGCAACCAAAAAATAGC